TACTAGTATATTATAATATGTCTACACCACACATTTGCAAATGGAAGACTTGAAGATATGCAAATATGAAGATGCTGTGCAAAAATAGACAAAATGTATGCATTGGCCTGAACACTTTATTCCCATATGACTGTTTCAAAAAAAGTGAGACAAGCCATTTTTGAAGCTACACAATCTCACTTGGGGATTAAACAGCAGGAAGTTAGACACCCAAAAACCCCACAGGAGTGTGCTGTGCGTACAGACGCTGCAAGCCTGTTCTGTACTCACAGATTCCAGTTTCCCAGGCAACCCTGTCTTGAAGATTTTAAACTTGGATTTAACATATGACGCCTCCTGTGTCTCTCCACAGTTGAGAAACAGGATTACTGGCTAGAGAAACAATCCACTTTCAGTTGAGTGTCCAGCAACATACAGGGTCTCTCCAATTTCCTTTGAAAGTAAGCAACATGTGGCCAGAAAGAGAAAGTATATCCAGCCACGCTGCCCTCAGGTAATGCACCACCACATTGCTTGGCTGTGACAAGAGATAAATCATTTGCATAGTTGCTATATTGTGCTTTTACACTGTCGACAGCTTTAATGGGATTTGTCAAAATGTGGGCCACAAGGACATTTAAAGAAAAACTACCAGAGGCAATGTAAGAGTTGGTGTTATTAGAATAAAATGAGTTGCAGAGTTTGAGTGGGAACAAAGTGCCTGACTATTATCCTGTAATAAGTTTCTTGTTTTAAGTTACACAATACTCCAGGCAAGTCAGTCTTTTATATGCAGAGCTATGTTCATATTTCCAAACATAAGCATCCTATTTTCCTTAAAGCAACTTAGGCAGCTGGCCTGTGTCCAAACAAAGCTGCACACACTTCTTGAGTACACGTGTACAGTCTTCCTGCACTGTTAAGATAATGGCAATATGTTGAGTGGAAATAACTGTACTTGCAGCCCTTTGATATGAGAACTCCCACTAAGGACTGCAGTGTGCTCAAGATGCATGAACAATGGGGTCTGCGTTGGAACATCACTTTGGAACATAAGATTTAATCATAGACATAAATCCAATACATAAAACGTCCTCTTTCACTCACATCAACAGACAACTTTATAACTGTACACTTACTGGCACACTAGAGGGATTATGTTGCTTGTCAAAGCGTTTTAAACTCATCGTTTGAGTCCAGCGCTTTATGGACAATGTATTGTTACGTTTTGATAAATATATGGTTGATGGAAAGACTGTTGTCATGCTAACATGGGCTTGTTCTAGATCACTTCCTTGTTAACTCGTTGAGTTATCTCTAATAGAGGCCCAATAGTGTGTTCTCTGTTGTAAGCAATACACTGACCTATACAGTATATCGTGTCTATTTTACAGGTGCTGTCAGGCTCTACTTTACAATTTGTATCTAAACATGTTATCTGCTGGAGGAATTGTTCTAAATAATTCACTCAATTGTGTGAATATAGAGCACTTTAGACTCCTGAAAAACATTACTATGTTTTTTCAGTGTGGAGCGTAGCTTGAGGCAGAATAAGTCTCTGAACACGTTAGCTAACGCCGGCTAGCGAGCATTTAACATTAGCTTGTTTTTTTAACAATGACTGAAAACAATAATTTCTCTGAACTTGTAAAACCCTCATCTCTCATGGACAATGACTGTTAGTTAAGAAATGTAGCTTGAATCCACGGGACATCAGATTCTGAATGTGACGATCTGACAGGAAAACCTACAGTCAATGGCCGTACATTTACACATCTGATAGAGAAACCAAGCATGCAAGGAATCAGACATTTTGATTACCTTTAAATATTACACTTATGGTTATTGTAGGCAGAGGACACAAACTGTTTAATTGTCGCTTTATCTCTTGTGATACTACTAGTATTACCATTATCTAATAGAGGTTATAAAAAAAGAACAGCAACATAATTCCCCCAATTTCTGATAAGGGGAGCATGATGAATTTTTAGAATTATTATTATCATGATTCATCATGATCATGATTGCTACTGATTAGATGTTATATTTAAAATACATCAAAATCACATTTTTTTAAATAAACACATGTTTTCAAGAATCTGATGTGTACTTTATTTCCTGAAGTGTTAATGATTCACCCCAAAATTGTTTGTTTGGTGTACATCAGCTAAAGAGCACTGAAACAGTGAAATATGACCATGGAGTACATTTTCTCTCTCAAAGCGTTGACTAAACAGCTCTGCACAGTAACACTAAAAGACTGACTAAGAGCACATTTTAACTCTCTGAGGGTTCTAGGTTTACACTGCACGTGTTGGAAAGCACTCAAACAGTGCCAAAAAAGTATTAAGTATAAAGTGTTCAAATCTAACTCTTTATTTGGAGTTTATATTGTACTCTTTTGAAAGTGTTCAGAGAACACCAAACTCTTGGACCTATATACACCCGAGACTGGTGTTAAATGTGCTCTTATAGAGTACAATGTACACTGTGGTTTTTGCTGTGCAGCATTTCAGAAAACTTTACAGTATTTCAGAAAACACCACAGCATTTCACAAAACACTACAGCATTTCACAAAACACTACAGCATTTCACAAAACGCTAGAGCATTTCAGAAAACACCACAGCATTTCAGAAAACACCACAGCATTTCAGAAAACAATACAGCATTTCAGAAAACGCTACGTCTGCAGACAAGACAGCAGGCGAAAAACCTTTTAAAATGCTTGTTTTCTGAATGGAGATTGGATCGATCAGGATAAACTAACCTGTAGCTGCTCCGTCCAAACTCACAACAACAGCATACAGACAGAAATAAAGCAGTGACTGCAGTATTCACCATGACACAGATGGTCGGTGGTTGGTTCATGTTTAACTTTTGTCCAGTTTCTGAACAGATATGAGGAGCTGTGAGTTCCTAGTGTGTGCTAACAGCTAACGGCTGATGTTTCGGGACCTGTTGTGCTGACCAATCACGAAGCATAATTTCTTGACTGGCAGCAAAAACAACCTATCACAGCAGTGCTTCTCTGGCTGGCTCTGTCCAATCACAAACAAGTAGTGTTCTCCCTAAAGGAATACCCTTTCCGTATAAGTTGAAATGCTGTGGTATTTTGTGAAATTCTGCGACGTTTTGTGAAATGCTGTGGCGTTTTGTGAAATGCTGTGGTGTTTTCTCAAATGATGTGATGTTTTGTGAAATGATGTGGTGTTTTGTGAAATGCTGTAACGTATTCTGAAATGTTGTATCGTTTTCTGAAATGCTGTGGTGTTTTCTGAAATGTTGTAGCGTTTTCTAAAATGCTGTAGTGTTTTGTGAAATGCTGTGGTGTTTCTTGAAATGATGTTTTGACTTGCATTTCAGGGCCAAATCACAGGAAAACATTAGGTTTTTTGACTGTTGCACTATGTTACAATAACATAAAATACATATTAACAATAAGTTGAAGTTAAAGTGAGCAATAAAAGTCCTTAGGCATTATTTTACAAATAAACAAGAGGAATCTGTGAATCTCTCTCTAACATTGACAAATTTCGATCAGGCATTTGTGAATCCATTTTGTATTTGTCAACCAACAATGCACTTCTGGATCTCAAATCTCTGCTTGTAAATCTCAATTATTTGCTTGTGGATCGTCTTTTTACACACACAGAGTTTTGAGAAAAACGTTCGGCCGGTCTCGACTCAAATCTGCTCTTGTCACTCGGTTATTTTCGGAAACCACGTGATGGCCCAACCCAGTCTCACGGCATTTCGAGTTATAGTCACGACATTTCATCTATTGATTCGTGTTCACCAACACGATTTTCCCCTTTTTTTCGTGTCAAACAGAACGATTTTAAAAGCAATGCATTTCTATTGGTAGTATGTTTCGTGCCTGCAACACGTATTTTTGTCCGGTCGGGTCTTGGAAGACCGGAAGCTGTGGGGTTCATAAAAACATGTTCTTACTCAATATCAAGCCACGATTATTGTTTTTATTTTAAATCGTATAATGAAAGAAAGAGCAAGTGTTACCTCATTGACCGGATTTGAGAGGACGCTGGCGTCGTTTGCTCGCCGCTTCTCTGTCTGGATTTTTTTTACTCTTTTCTACTCTTTCCTCAACATATCTTAGCAGCTTTTTGGCCGACCAGTCCGGTTAAGATCTATGTGAATCTTACACTGCCTGGATCACTGAGATGTGTGAAAGTGTCCGTGTTTTCCTACCTGAAAACACCGGCTCCGTTTCGCCGTTTCGCCGCTCCACCTGCTCTCCTTCTGATCCTCCCGGCTTCACCTGCCTAGCTCCTCCAACACTGCCTCCACCCCATTCNAGAAAAAAAATCCTGTTTCCCTCAAACTTTGAGTGACCCCCCTGGCGCCCCCTGGCGGCCCCCGTGGGGTCGGGGCCCCCACTTTGAAAAACACTGGCCTAGCTGACGGAGAATTTTTACTTTACACAACACTGTTCCACACTTCATTCTGCTTCACTCTTTAACTAAACAACCGCAGATGTCTTGAAAGAGTCTTTCGTTGAAGATTTTGAAGATATCCGCGTTCTTGTGACACGTAAATAATACGCTTCCTATGTTTTGGTGCGGATTGCGTTCACACCAGTAATGAACCGCTCCAGAGTTCGCAAGCAAGCGCTCCGAGACCACCTATTTTAGCGGACCAGAGTCCGGTTGTTTAGTTCACTTAAGAGGTCTCGGACTGCGTTCACACCGACCCAAATGAACCGCACCAAGCGGCTAAACGCACCAGGGTTCGATTCAACCGGACTATACAAGGCAGGTGTGAACGCACCCAAGAGAACAAAATAATTGTTTTAAAAAGAAATGAAAATGAATGTTTATATAATGGTAGCTCCAACCATCAAAACCAGTTAAATTAAACCTTGTCTTCCTTAATTACATCTTTCATTTAAGTTTACACAAGATGACACAACATTAACAGACAGGAAGTGAATGGAGTGAGAACGCCCTCTTTAATGGAAGCTGTATAGCTAATGCTTCAAGAGCAAATAAATGAAAGCCTCTGGAGTGTATATGGTTTTACACTAATGTTTTAAGTGTGCCGTGAATACTGACGGGCCATGGATTAATCGTTATGGATATGTAATGCCATCAAGCCGTCTATTATGCTGTAATAGCAAACCAAATAGTAATGATAGATCATAGGATAAAATGGCGCTGCCTGTTTGGGAGAGGAATGTTGGCGTGGTGGTGCGTGGGGACTCTTCAAAGACCTGCACACAAGCTCATCTCATGCCGTGCCTGTTTTAATTCATGTCATCCTAATGGATATGTACATATGGGACATCTCCCAGTGGGCGCCAAGGTATACGCTGACGGTGGTAAAAAGCAAGAGGTGTCTGTTAGCTTGCCTGTTGAGTGCAGCTCTGTGGTGTGGTTAATTTTAATCACTGGATCAGCTGTCTCTGCTCTCCTGTTCTGCCTCTTCCCTCGCTCTGCCTATTACAACTCCTCCATTCTCCCCTCGACATAACTCTTCTGGGATCCTCTCTCACCGATGTAAGTGTCTTCCCTGAGACACTTTCCTAATTTAGCACTGGCCTGTCTGCTGGCTGAGCTGGTTTTTCTGGAACTCATCTCATCATTCAGCTGTGTCCACCTCTGTCCATTTCGTTATTAGGATTCAGACTCACCTGTATTCATAATCCTGCTCACTGCTCAATTAAACACCATTCTCCAAAACTCAATGCCTACATGCTGTAGCTTTACAAGATGATGTGCGATAGTAACAGTATCAAAGGGAAACATTTTAATCATGTTCCAGAGACATGTTGTCTTCCTCATGATGATAAAGTGCAAAATAATCTGTGTGGGTTATTTTCAGCAGGAACTAGCCGAGAAAATACAATAATTGGTCTCCACATTTTTTACTTTTTATTTTGTTGTAATAATAATAATAATAATTTCAATTTTTATAGCGCCTTTCAAGAGACCCAAGGACGCTTAAGGTCTTGGTAGGTATTGTCTTGTTGTTTTCTCTAGAAATACATCAAGTTATGACTGAGGTATACAAATAAATGCTTTTCATTGTTATTTTTCTCATTTAAATTCCCAGACTTGCCTAAAAAAAGAAAATATATCTATAATTCTTCAATTTAGAGCTGAGTTGCTGTTGTTGGATGGCAGCCATAATAATGTTCCAGCTATGTCAGTGCTGTGAGCTCTTTTCTAAATTAAACACACTGTGTACTCTCTTATGATCTTCTTGTATACTTAAAATACAGTGGAGGAAGAAGTACTTTTCAGTAGAAATACTATGGTCTTAAAATGCTAAATTACAAGTAAAAGTCTGGAAATTTAAGTAGAAGTACAGACGTACTATCAGCTTTATGTACTTACAGTTTCAAAAGTAAAAGTACTTAATATTTACAGTGGCTCCTATTATTTCTTTTATATAATCTTATATTATTCCTTAACACATGTTGAGCGTGTTGTGGTTTGTGTGTATGTGCAGCCAATTTTAGCAATTTTTTTTAATACAGGGTTGTACTTTTGTATATTGGTAGCAGTGCTGCATTATATCATACAAGCAAATCACATGTTTTTATATTTAACTAGTTAATATGAGTGTCAAATATATATAGCAGAGTAAAAGTATAAAGTAGCATGAAGTAAAGTACAATCATGTAAAAAAGGTACGTACTTGAGTAAATATACTTTGTTACTTTCCCCTATCGCCAACATATGTAACTCTATGTCTTTGGTTGTTTTATGGGAATTTTTTATTTCAGCTGTTGTTGGTTTTGGTTTTAAAGTGCAATAATATGAGGAATAAAAAGACTCCAGGTGCACATGAAGCATCTTTCATACTGTAAGTACGAAATCACCAGCTGGGTTGTAAATGCTTTAAGTTGCAACTCAACTACCAAACACTTTGTTTCAAGCTTTATGAGCTTGTGAAATAACAGTAACATTATCCCCCTACCTGCTCTTGAATTGGCTCACTTGCCATATCCTGAAAATCATCATTGTGATCCATGCAGTAGCAGAATGTAAATTTATAAAATACTGTGGAAATAAAATAAACAATGTTCATGATGTGTGGGTGTGGAGGTATATGTGTTAACGCGGTAACAAATCAATAGTTGGTAATGTGTAGAAAGGACAATAACACAAGGGTCATAAATCTCAATCATCAGCTGAAAAGCCATTGGAAGCTTATCAGATTTTAATAAAGCCACCTGCCCCCTCATATTCTACTCAGGGCATCTTGAGTTCAACACTTATCTTTATAACCTATGCTACAACACCTCAAAGCATTTGGAAAGTAAAGGTTGCTTTGTAAATATAAAGCTGAAATTAATATGTTATACTTTTTTTGGCCAAACAGCTCAGAAATAAATTTGACCTGATATGAGTTTTATGTATACCAAACTGGGAATGAATGGGATGTTGCAGTAGTAAAACTTAAAGACATGGAGTAGATCAATAGTGTAAGACCAGGGTTTGTCTCCCGTCTCATGCAATAAGTCTCCATTGATTTTTGTTCTTTTTTTTTTTAACTTACTTCAAGTCCATTGGTGTCTGAGTGAAATCACTCCCGTTTCTACCCTTGTAGCGCCAACGTCATGAATATGTCAGACTGTTAGCTGGAGGCAAGACAAAGGAACAACTGGAGGCAAACACAAATACCTTAGAGTACTGTAGTTAACTAAAGAGTTAAGTGTCTTTGAGCTTTAGAAGCGCTATGCAAACCTTATGTAGTATTATTATTATTAAAGTCATCCCATGCCATGTTTTTCTGGTTATTACCCGCCTCCTTGTGTGTTATGAAGGTTTTTCTGCATGTAAACGGTCTGCAGAGTCACAAACCCTCAAAGTACACCCTGTAGTGAGTAAAACTCTAACACAGACAAGACCTGTCTACTGTATGCTGCCCCAGAACGCCTCGTTGGAGATTTCTCTTTTTCTTCCTGCACAGCAAAAACCACTGTGTATGTTGTACTCTATAAGAGCACATTTAACACCAGTCTCTGGTGTATATAGGTCCAAGAGTTTGGTGTTCTCTGAACACTGTCAAAAGAGTACAATATAAACTCCAAATAAAGAGTTAGATTTGAACACTTTTGGAGTCAAAATATACACTATAACTGGTACTTTTTTGACACTGTTTGAGTGCTTTCCAACACGTGCAGTGTAAACCTAGAACCCTCAGAGAGTTAAAATGTGCCCTTAGTCAGTCTTTTAGTGTCACTGTGCAGAGCTGATTAGTCAACGCTTTGAGAGAAAATGTACTCCATGGTCATATTTCACAGTTTCAGTGCTCTTTAGCTGATGTACACCAAACAAACAATTTTGGGGTGAATCATTAACACTTCAGGAAATAAAGTACACATCAGATTCTTGAAAACANCGGTCGTGTGATTTAAAAAATATATATATTAATAAATACAAAATATGAAAAGATTGGCATCAAAGGACACATAGATTGATAGATATGCAGTTATTAATATTATTAATAACTGCATATCTATCAATCTATGTGTCCTTTGATGCCAATCTTTTCATATTTTGTATTTATTAATATATATATTTTTTAAATCACACGACCGCCCTTCAAGCGAATCAGAATCGAGCTGCCGCTACTGAGAGTGAAACTGAGATCTGCTCAGCTTTTGGCGCAAGTGAGAGCTATATTTCGCTGTCCAGCTGGATGAGAGCATGGATGTAGCAAATATTGTTGTTATTATATATATATTATATATAATATTATTAAGGCATAAGTAGCTTTCAAAAATGCTAAAAATATGTTAATTGTTCATATTACTGTTCAAAATTATATAATATTATAAAGACAGAAATCACTTTAAAAATGCTTTAAAAATATGTTTACTGTTGATATTACTGTTTAATAGTGTTAATAATGTTTATAACAGAAGGCACAATGAATGTAATGAATGACAAACAAAATATAAATACAAAAAATGTTTAGAAGAATAACTGATTATTAATTATTAATACAAATATATATTAAGAAAATGTATTAAGCTGTATGATTAATTAGTCATATTTTCCATCATAATGTACTCATCATTTAAAAAAAAATTGCAACAGGGGGGTCCCCGCCAGAGGATAATGCTATATGGGGGTCCTTAGCATGGCAAAGTTTGGGAACCCCTGAGCTAGGCTACATAAAAATAAAAAATACCTGTCGTCGGTGAAACGCCCCTCCTTACTGCAGAACGTCTCATTATATGTGTTATAATGTTTTTTAACGGACGTTGTCAGATTATATAATCATATGCGCGGGCCGCTAGTGTCTGTTGATCTCCAGATTAACAGCAGCATGAGAATAACCTGCCGAAAGTGCCCATGCTCCATGGCCGAGGCTTCGGTAGAAATTGCCGGGATTCGCGTTTTTACCCTTTTAATGTCTGACCAATGGTTGAAAGGCATTTCCGTGCACATGACTTGTGTTTAAAGTTTAGTCTGTTTGAGTTTTGCCCGTGTGAACGCAAACCGAACCTTCTACATGGGTTTAATTATGCCTCGCATCAAAACATGGTTAAATACAGTGGATTTTCATTCGCTCTGTCATTCATTCTATCTATCTATGATCAGTGTTGACATCACTGTGTTTCTATGATGTTGACGTCTTAAAGCAGTTTCTTTATTTCATTTGATTTCATTCTTTTTTTAAGTTGCACAATTATTGAATTGTTTGCGTTATACTGTATGCTGTGATTGAAATGCACTTTATACAATAAGTCACTTTGCTAAGCAATTAATATTTAGTCCATGCAACATGCAAAAAACATTAAATATTGCAGTATTCTTATATTTTTGCATTATATATGCTTGTTATTTCTGCTTTTGGTCTCCTTCATTATTGTGCAGTCTCTTCTTGTGTTAACCAAAAGATGAATACCTTCTTGAAAGATATTTTTATTTTGTATTACAGGAAGGTCAAGTTACTTAATGAAAAGGAAAGGTGTGGCTTTTGAAGAAAACAATTCCCCCTTTCACACACACTTACAATTTCTCTCGGAAAAGATAACATTTGTACA